TGGAACAACATTGTCACAACTTGTTAACAAGCTTGCTACAACCCTGTTACTAAAAGTCTTGTTGACAAGTTGTTGGAACAGTATTGCCACAGCTTGTTAACAAGCTTGCTACAAACCTGTTGTTAAAAGTCTTGTTGACAAGTTGTTGGAGCAGTATTGCCACAGCTTGTTAACAAGCTTGCTACAAACCTGTTGTTAAAAGTCTTGTTGACAAGTTATTCGAACATCATTGTCACAACTTGTTAACAAGCTTGCTACAAACCTGTTGTTAAAAGTCTTGTTGACAAGTTATTCGAACATCATTGTCACAACTTGTTAACAAGCTTGCTACAAACCTGTTGTTAAAAGTCTTGTTGACAAGTTATTCGAACATCATTGTCACAACTTGTTAACAAGCTTGCTACAAACCTGTTGTTAAAAGTCTTGTTGACAAGTTATTCGAACATCATTGTCACAACTTGTTAACAAGCTTGCTACAAACCTGTTGTTAAAAGTCTTGTTGACAAGTTATTCGAACATCATTGTCACAACTTGTTAACAAGCTTGCTACAAACCTGTTGTTAAAAGTCTTGTTGACAAGTTATTCGAACATCATTGTCACAACTTGTTAACAAGCTTGCTACAAACCTGTTGTTAAAAGTCTTGTTGACAAGTTATTCGAACATCATTGTCACAACTTGTTAACAAGCTTGCTACAAACCTGTTGTTAAAAGTCTTGTTGACAAGTTATTCGAACATCATTGTCACAACTTGTTAACAAGCTTGCTACAAACCTGTTGTTAAAAGTCTTGTTCACAAGTTGGAACAACATTGTCACAACTTATTAACAAGCTTGCTACAAACCTGTTGTTAAAAGTCTTGTTCACAAGTTGGAACAACATTGTCACAACTTGTTAACAAGCTTGCTACAAACCTGTTGTTAAAAGTCTTGTTGACAAGTTATTGGAACAGCATTGTCACAACTTGTTAACAAGCTTGCTACAAACCTGTTGTTAAAAGTCTTGTTCACAAATTATTGGAACATCATTGTCACAACTTGTTAACAAGCTTGCTACAAGCCTGTTACTAAAAGTCTTGTTGACAAGTTGTTGGAACAGTATTGCCACAGCTTGTTAACAAGCTTGCTACAAGCCTGTTGTTAAAAGTCTTATTGACAAGTTCTTGGAAAAGCATTGTCACAACTTGTTAACAAGCTTGCTACAAACCTGTTGTTAAAAGTCTTGTTCACAAGTTCTTGGAACATCATTGTCACAACTTGTTAACAAGCTTGCTACAAACCTGTTGTTAAAAGTCTTGTTCACAAGTTCTTGGAACAGCATTGTCACAACTTGTTAACAAGCTTGCTACAATCCTGTCGTTAAAAGTCTTGTTCAGAAATTGTTGGAACAGCATTGTCACAACTTGTTAACAAACTTGCTACAAGCTTGTCGTTAAAAGTCTTGTTCACAAGTTTTTGGAACAGCATTGTCACAACTTGTTAACAAGCTTGCTACAACCCTGTTACTAAAAGTCTTGTTGACAAGTTGTTGGAACAGTATTGTCACAACTTGTTAACAAGCTTGCTACAACCCTGTTACTAAAAGTCTTATTGACAAGTTGTTGGAACAGTATTGCCACAACTTGTTAACAAGCTTGCTACAGTCCTGTCGTTAAAAGTCTTGTTCAGAAATTGTTGGAACAGCATTGTCACAACTTGTTAACAAACTTGCTACAAGCTTGTCGTTAAAAGTCTTGTTGACAAGTTGTTGGAACAGCATTGTCACAACTTGTTAACAAACTTGCTACAACCCTGTTACTAAAAGTCTTGTTGACAAGTTGTTGGAACAGTATTGCCACAACTTGTTAACAAGCTTGCTACAGTCCTGTCGTTAAAAGTCTTGTTCAGAAATTGTTGGAACAGCATTGTCACAACTTGTTAACAAACTTGCTACAAGCTTGTCGTTAAAAGTCTTGTTCACAAGTTGCTGGAACAGCATTGTCACAGCTTGTTAACAAACTTGCTACAAGCTTGTCGTTAAAAGTCTTGTTCACAAGTTGCTGGAACATCATTGTCACAACTTGTTAACAAGCTTGCTACAAGCCTGTCGTTAAAAGTCTTGTTCAGAAATTGTTGGAACATCATTGTCACAACTTGTTAACAAGCTTGCTACGAGCCTGTTGTTAAAAGTCTTGTTCACAAGTTATTGGAACAGCATTGTCACAACTTGTTAACAAGCTTGCTACAAACCTGTTGTTAAAAGTCTTGTTCACAAGTTCTTGGAACATCATTGTCACAACTTGTTAACAAGCTTGCTACAAACCTGTCGTTAAAAGTCTTGTTCAGAAATTGTTGGAACATCATTGTCACAACTTGTTAACAAGCTTGCTACAAACCTGTCGTTAAAATTCTTGTTCAGAAATTGTTGGAACATCATTGTCACAACTTGTTAACAAACTTGCTACAAGCCTGTTGTTAAAAGTCTTGTTCACAAGTTGTTGGAACAGCATTGTCACAACTTGTTAACAAACTTGCTACAACCCTGTTACCAAAAGTCTTGTTGACAAGCAGGGCCGGAGCTACGGGGGGTGGACAACCTGTGCAATTGTATTCAGTCGGCAGAACTGCTATTCAGTCGGTAGAACTGCTATTTTGGGTTAAATATTTTGGCGCAAAGGGCAAGAACGTGGTGGAATTTTAGGAAAATTTTGATGAAAATGTAAAAATTTCTGGAAAAATGTAAAAATGTTGAAAATTTGTTATGTTCGGAAAATTTTTGAATGTTCCGGAAAATTTTTGTATGTCCGGAAAAATTTTGGACCCCTAAAATGGTACACTGACCGAAATTTTTTTGGCGACGGGGGGGGGGGAGGTCGACCAAAAATTTCTGATCCGGAAAAATTTTTTTGAACCAGTCGGTTGAATTGACCTTATTAACACCCCCCCTGAAGAATTTCCTGAGGACGGCCCTGTTGACAAGTTGTTGGAACAGTATTGCCACAACTTGTTAACAAGCTTGCTACAATCCTGTCGTTAAAATTCTTGTTCAGAAATTGTTGGAACAGCATTGTCACAACTTGTTAACAAACTTGCTACAAGCCTGTTGTTAAAAGTCTTGTTCACAAGTTATTGGAACATCATTGTCACAACTTGTTAACAAGCTTGCTACAACCCTGTTACTAAAAGTCTTGTTGACAAGTTGTTGGAACAGTATTGCCACAACTTGTTAACAAGCTTGCTACAAGCCTGTTACTAAAAGTCTTGTTCACAAGTTGCTGGAACAGCATTGTCACAACTTGTTAACAAGCTTGCTACAAACCTGTTGTTGAAAGTCTTGTTCAGAAATTGTTGGAACATCATTGTCACAACTTGTTAACAAGCTTGCTACAAGCCTGTCGTTAAATGTCTTGTTCAAAAGTTATTGGAACATCATTGTCACAACTTGTTAACAAGCTTGCTACAACCCTGTTACTAAAAGTCTTGTTGACAAATTGTTGGAACATCATTGTCACAACTTGTTAACAAGCTTGCTACAACCCTGTTACTAAAAGTCTTGTTGACAAATTGTTGGAACAGTATTGCCACAACTTGTTAACAAGCTTGCTACAATCCTGTCGTTAAAAGTCTTGTTCAGAAATTGTTGGAACAGCATTGTCACAACTTGTTAACAAACTTGCTACAAGCTTGTCGTTAAAAGTCTTGTTCACAAGTTGTTGGAACAGCATTGTCACAACTTGTTAACAAGCTTGCTACAAACCCGTTACTAAAAGTCTTGTTGACAAGTTATTGGAACAGCATTGTCACAACTTGTTAACAAGCTTGCTACAAGCCTGTTACTAAAAGTCTTGTTGACAAGTTGTTGGAACAGTATTTTATAAAATAACATGTATATAACGCGTATTCTGATTGGTCGAAAGCCGTGTTTGGATCAGGCCATCCAAACACGGAAGACTACCGTGTTGTTGTTATTTTACAAAACAATTACTTTATGGTTTCCGTGTTTGGATGGACTGATCCAAACACTTGGGAATGTTGCTCGAGTTAAGAAAAGCGGGCAAAATCACTCGCCTTCGGCTCGTGTTTCGCTCGCTTTTCTTAACTCTCGCAACATTCCCGCGTGTTTGGATCAGGCCATCCAAACACGGAAACCATAAAGTAATTGTATATTCACAACTTGTTAACAAGCTTGCTGCAACCCTGTTACTAAAAGTCTTGTTCACAAGTTGTTGGAACAGCATTGTCACAACTTGTTAAACAAACTTGCTGCAACCCTGTTGTTAAAAGTCTTGTTCACAAGTTATTGGAACATCATTGTCACAACTTGTTAACAAGCTTGCTACAATCCTGTCGTTAAAAGTCTTGTTCACAAGTTGTTGGAACAGCATTGTCACAACTTGTTAAGAAACTTGCTACAAGCCTGTTGTTAAAAGTCTTGTTCACAAGTTATTGGAACAGCATTGTCACCACGTGTTAACAAACTTGCTACGCGCGTAAAAATTTCACATCTTGTAACAAGTTTATCAACAAGCCGTCAACAAATTGTCTTCGCACTGCTTGAACCAAGGGTGGATTTTCATTTATTTAAAAGGAGGGGTAGAAAAATTTCTGGTGGGGTGCAAGCGACACCACTCAGTGAGCCACAGCACGGGTTAGGCGTTTGGGTTGATCGAGCCTTTCACACAAAATAGGAGGGTGAAGCAAAATGTTGGTGGGGTTGAACACTTTGTTAGAGGGGTTAGAGAGATTCTTGGAGGGGTTTAAGCCAGCCCCCAGTAAATTCGCCCATGGTCATGATATGGCCATGAACAATACTGCTATTCGACTGTATCGGACTTGTTGGAACAACCTTGTAACAAATCTGATAATATAAACAAGGTTGTTACAAATTGTTAGCAGCTTGTTCCAAACGTGTTGACAACTTGTGAGAAACTGACTAATACAAAACTACTACATAACTGCTAGTGGAGCACCGATTCAATTCGATTGATTCAATTCATTAAAATTATTTCAATATGTTTGCTAGACATTTGTGAATTATGTGGTCATAACATTGCAACTCACGAATACACATTTCAAATAGATGATGGATATCAAGTAAGTTCTGCTACTTGCTGTACTGACAATGCATAGTTCTTGTAGTGAAATAGTTTGTTTTATCATTTTCTGTTAACTGTAGGAATATGAAATGAATTGCAAATTGTGTGGATTTGGTCAAGACAGAGTTTGTATCATGCCTGACGACCCAGAGAAATGTCGCGGAGAATTCTGATATTGTATCCTGAACTAACTAGTGTCTCGGATTGTCACAGAGTGGGTTGTTCCAGAAAAGATCCACCCTGCTCCCAAAGAGGGAATTTCTGAGGGGCGGGGAGGGGAGAAACATTTGTGGTAATAGTAAGTGTATTAGGACATCCCAAGTGCGGAGAAAATTGTCAGTTAACCCCTACCCGGGGTGTGGATATTTTCTGGAATGACCCATTCTAATCTGTTCCACATCTGCTATTTCCTTGGTAATTAGTGAGAGAACTGGGAATATTGCAACATAATTATTAGCTAGACATCCATATTAATATATGGTGCATAATATCCGTGAATATTGCCTTATAAAAGTGAAGAAAAGTGTTCAAGTAGTACATATATGTGGATGTGATTTGTGTATAATATTAAACAATGTACTGTTACAAGCTAACAGGGTCAATATATAACCAACATAATGGAGATTACATGCATAGATCAAAATAATGTTTATTCTTTTAGAATTTAAACTATGTGCAAAAAAGTTAATTGTTAAAAACAGTAAACCATCAAGACATTATCTTGTCTTTGTACACTAGGTACCAGATTGGTAGCAGCAATGATGGGATTATTAACTGCCATATCAATGTGCTACTCTGCATTTAGATAGTTGACTCTAATTTCTAACACCAGATGTTATTATAATTTTGTAATTGAAGTAATTTTTAAATTGGTAGAAAAAAGTGAAAAGCGAACGAAAATGCGCAAAATCCGCACATTGTGATGAAAAATTCGAAATGAGATCATTCTAGCGCTTGTACTGTTCATTAAAAATCATCAGGAAATAATTCATAAGGGAAAGAAAACCGTGTTTAATAGTGGTTTTATACGTATCAAAAATTATATTCATTTGCATAAATTTAGCTTTGATTTTCTCGATTTAGAACGTTGATTTTTAAAATTACTTCGCCAATGAACCCATAAGATGGGTCGTTTTTGAAGCCATTTAAAAGACTCGCATTCCTTGCTTTATCAGATATAAAACGCTCGGCTGTTGCCTCGTGATAAAGAACTCCTGCTCGTGTCTTAAATAGGACTTATATCTTTTTGTTTTCTATTTGTAATGACTATTATACATTTTGTTTCCTATCCGTTATTTTCCATCCAACTACCTGACAACAACCTGCTATGCAAAATTGATCCATTTTAAATTAAGAAATTACCTTGTTCATTGTGACACAATTATTAAACTTTCGCTTGTTACATAAACTAGATAGTAAATATACTTCGCCTTTAATATAGTTTATAAAATAAAGTCGGCAGAAAATTAGAAAAATACGTTAAAAGATTTTTGAGTGCTGTTGGTCTGAAGTCATAAAGTCATACGTTATTGAGTAGTGGCTCGGTAGTTATTTATCCAAAATGAATGCTGTTAGCGGGCTGAATCGCGCGTTAATGTACGATAATTGTCTGAAGAATCTAGCAAACTGTACTTCGAAGCAATTGGAACTTTTACAAAAGTTCAAAGAAGGACGAGAAATGGTGAATGGCTCAAGTCATGTTTTGAACGAATTGATCTATAACAAGTTAGTATTTCTAGAAAAGAGCAGCAGTTTCATTAAGTACGGTGCAGGTAGCTGACAGAATGAAGAAATAATGTTAATCATTTTCAATATATGTAGTCTGTAGTCTTGTATATTTAGTGGCGAACAGAAAAAATTGAGAGATGTATAGTTTCATTCTCTTGTTCATAAGTTAATAAGTATCACTGTTGTACACACGTAAAAATCTCAGTTTGTCAACAAGATGTGTTCGCACTGCTTGTTCCAAGTTGTTGACAAGTCTGGACCAAGTTGTTGTCATCTTATAACAAGGTTGATGAGGCCAACAGACTCGCAACAAGTTGTTCGGCTAACAAGTCTGATATCATCTGCACGTAACAAGTTGTTCACAAGTTGATGACAACAAGCTCGTAGCAACTTTTTACGAACAGCCTGTGTTAGTCTTGTTGGAACAACTTGTAGCAAGTCTGTTACCGTCATCAACCTTGTATGACAAGATGCTAACAATTTTGTTCCAGACTTGTCACAACAACTGGGAACAAGCAGTGCGAACACATCCTGATATCGACTTCACAACAACTTTGTTTCCAACTTGTTTACAGATCTGTAACAAATTGTGCGTTTTTACGCTTGTCATATAGTTTACTCTATCTAAGTTAAAGTTTCGCTTGTTTTGTAGGCATTGGAGCAGTGTTCTGATAATTGAAATCTTTGCAGTACTTGGTATAGTTCTCTGTTTTGCTGGTTATCGACTGCTCAAGGTATATATGTAGTCAAGCGTTGTTTATACAAGGAGAATTGCGACGTTATGAGTGAAGGTCCTTCGTCGCTTGAAACGTCGAAGTTCTCCTTGTATTTTTCAGGTCGTTGTATTCCTATTAATCTGAAGCTTTCTTATTATTGCCACTACCTACACTGGCCAAGACCTTTCAAGCGTTGTTTATATCTGATAACATCATTTTGTTTGTAGGCTGTGCTGTTTCTTTGTGGATTTACTGTTGGCTTCCTCGTTGTGTATGCTTTCTCTCCTTTGATATTTAAAACAAAAATTTGCTGCGGTGCTGAGGGACATAGAGCAGGTCAGTTGTGACTGGAATTTTTAATCCTCCTCATCTTGAAAACAATAGCTAAACTAACTTTATTTATACTGGATAGCTCTATCAGTTATAAACTGTTCTTCCTAGAGGTCCAGTAACGATCATCTCTTATTGATCCAGTGTTACTACAGGAGGAAACCTAAACTAAACTAACTTTATTTATACTGGATAGCTCTATCAGTTCTAGACTGTTCTTCCTAGAGGTGCAGTAAGGGTCATCTCTTATTGATCCAGTGTTACTACAGGAGGAAACCTAAATTAAACTAACTTTATTTATACTGGATAGCTCTATCAGTTCTAGACTGTTCTTCCTATAGAGGTGCAGTAAGGATCATCTCTTATTGATCCAGTGTTACTACAGGAGGAAACCTAAACTAAACTAACTTTATTTATACTGGATAGCTCTATCAGTTCTAGACTGTTCTTCCTAGAGGTGCAGTAAGGATCATCTCTTATTGATCCAGTGTTACTACAGGAGGAAACCTAAATTAAACTAACTTTATTTATACTGGATAGCTCTATCAGTTATAAACTGTTCTTCCTATAGGTCCAGTAAGGATCATCTCTTATTGATCCAGTGTTACTACAGGAGGAAACCTAAACTAAACTAACTTTATTTATACTGGATAGCTCTATCAGTTCTAGACTGTTCTTCCTAGAGGTGCAGTAAGAATCATCTCTTATTGATCCAGTGTTAACAGGAGGAAACCTAAACTAAACTAACTTTATTTATACTGGATAGCTCTATCAGTTCTAAACTGTTCTTCCTAGAGGTGCAGTAAGAATCATCTCTTATTGATCCAGTGTTAACAGGAGGAAACCTAAACTAAACTAACTTTATTTATACTGGATAGCTCTATCCAGTTCTAAACTGTCCTCCTTTGATGTCCATTAAGAGTAATCTCTTATTGTTTCAGCCCCACAATAATTCTGATTTCTTTTTATTTAGTTCATCTTGGTCTAAGCGCCATTGTTGGTGTTGTTCTTGGAGTACTCAGTCTTAATCTTTATCGTTTGGGCGTCTTTGCTATTGGCCAGTGTCTGGGATTGGTAAGATTTCGATCATTCCGCGTTATTTTTTATTCATTCTTTATTTCCGTTCAATATAGAGATAACAGAAATAATTATGTGTTTTAGATTGTTGCTATTTCAGTTCTGTGCACACCACTGCATATTTATTTTGACAGGTTAGTTTTGATTTGTCTGGACCATTAAATGTGCTATCCAGTATAAATAAAGTTAGTTTAGTTTAGGTTTCCTCCTGTAGTAACACTGGATCAATAAGAGATTATCCTTACTGGACTTCTAGGGAGAACAGTTTAGAGCTGATAGAGCTATCCAGTATAAATAAAGTTAGTTTAGTATAGGTTTCCTCCTGTAGTAACACTAGATCAATAAGAGATGATCCTTACTGGACCTCTAGGAAGAACAGTTTAGAACTGATAGACCTATACAATATAAATAAAGTTAGTTTAGTTTAGGTTTCCTCCTGTAGTAATACTGGGTCAATAAGAGATGACCCTTACTGGACCTAACTGTAATTATTGAACTTAAACGGTCTACCTCCATTATCGTTGTAGCAATGTAACATATGGTTTGTTTATGGCAACGTCATGTTGTATTTTTGGATCTCTGTCATGCAAGTACGAGAAACCCATTGTTGTCATGACTACCGCAAGTGGAGGCTCGCTGGTATTTCTTTATGGTAACCAGCTGCTTTTTATACCGACATTTATATCAGTTCACCGTTTGTATTTTTCAACCAAGTAACATGAGGTATAATTTTTTGGCATATCTGTGTTGTTTTTAGGACTTGATCATTTCGTCAAGACCAGTTTCTCCGTGGCAATCGAGAGTTTGCTGTTCAGAATCAAAGACGTTATTTTTGATGGCCTACATTCGGAATACACAAACTGGACTTACCACGCCACGGCACTTACTCATTATAAAGCTTTGCACTTCGAAGGGAAGGGTTAGTTCCATCTGCATGTTCTACAACATTGGAATTTACTAAGGG